TGTTGAGATAAGGATGAGCTGCCATGTTTAGGAATGCAACAAGGTACGAAGGGAGGGAGAGGACAAGAATGTGATAACGGGGGGAGAAAGGGAGGAGGGGGGAAAGGAGAAGAGGAGGAGGAGGAGGAAGGGGATTGTGACAATGGAGAAATAGAAGGAGGAGGATAGAAGAAGAGGAGGTGGAGGAACTTGATAACAGAGAGGCATAGGAAGGGGGGAAAGAGAGGAAGAGGAAAATGAAGATTATGATGCTTAAAAGAAAGGAAGGGAGAAAGAGAACAAGAAGGAGGAGAATTAGGTGGATAAAGAGACAAAAAGAGAAAGAGAGAAGAAAAGAAGAGAACCTGGAGGAGGGAGAAAAATAAAAGATAAATTTTGAGAATATAAAAAAGAAGGGAAGGGGAAGAAAAATATAAGATAAATTTTGAGAATATAAAAAAGAAGGGAAGGGGAAGAAGAAGGGGGGAAAGCAGAATGATAGGGAGAAAGAGAAATAAAGAGAGAAGGAGAGTAAGGAGAAAAAATGATGAAAAATGACTGGATAAAAGGAGGGAAAAGAGAGGATGGAGAAAAGGAAGAAAGAACGATAGGAGAGAGAAAGAGAGAGAGAGAGAGAGAGGGGGGGAGAGAGAGAGAGAGAGAGAGAGAGAGAGAGAGAGAGAGAGAGAGAGAGAGAGAGACAGACAGACAGACCGACAGACAAAGACAAAGACACAGTTCGATCGAGAGAGAGAGAGAGAAAGAGAGAGAGACACACACACAGACTAAGAGAGAAAAAATAGAAAAAAACACCCTATCTACCTTCTACTTCTACTTCTTTTTCTCTTTCTCTCTCTCTCTCCCTCACTCCCTCCCTCCACCCCACCTCCCTCTCTCTCTCTCTCTCTCTCTCTCTCTCTCTCTCTCTCTCTATCTATCTATCTATCTATCTATCTATCTATCTATCTATCTATCTCTCTCTCTCTCTCTCTCTCCCTCTCTCTCTCTCACCTGCAGGGGAACTCACCCAGCCCGTGTGCCGCCTAAGGTGAAGCAGGTCCAGGCGTTTGAAGACCATTACTGTACACAAAGACGTTTTACTTTGAAGAGTCTCGGTGTACAAACTCGCATAAAGTGTTAGGTCCATGAGGATGTGGGAGATTTGTGAGGCTGTGGAAGGTGTATGAGAATGTGGGAGATTTGTGAGGCTGTGGAAGGTGTATGAGAATGTGGGAGATTTGTGAGGCTGTTGAAAGATGAATGAGGATGTTGGGAGATGAATGAGGATGTTGGGAGATGAATGAGGATGTTGGGAGATGAATGAGGATGTTGGGAGATACATGGGGATGTTGAGAAATACATGAGGCTATGGAAGATGTATGAGGATGTTGAGAGATGAATGATGATGTTGGGAGATGCATGAGGATGTTGAGAGATGAATGAGGATGTTGGGAGATGAATGAGGATGTTGGGAGATACATGGGGATGTTGAGAAATACATGAGGCTATGGAAGATGTATGAGGATGTTGAGAGATGAATGATGATGTTGGGAGATGCATGAGGATGTTGGGAGATGAATGAGGATGTTGGGAGGTTTGTGAGGATGTTGAGCGATGAATGAGGATGTTGAGAGATGAATGAGGATGTTGAGAGATGAATGAGGATGTTGAGAGATGCATGAGGATGTTGAGAGATGCATGAGGGTGTTGAGAGATGAATGAAGATGTTGGAAGAAGTATGAGGATGTTGAGAGATGAATGAGGATGTTGGGAGATGTATGAGGGTGTTGGGAGATGCATGAGGATGTTGAGAGATGTATGAGGGTGTTGGGAGATGCATGAGGATGTGGGAGATTTGTGAGGATGTGGAGGGTGCATGAGGATGTTGGAGCATACATAATGAAACTGTAAAGCATAATCATTATAATGATAAGTATAATATGACGATACTATTGATAATGTTTGTACCGTTTATAAATATCAAAATGATAAGCAGATAGTGAATAAAATAAATATCGTGAACATGACGATGAGTATAGGAAGAATATAATATACAAAAAAATCACTAAAAAGGTGTATATATGGTGCGATGAGGGGGGAGAGGGAGGGAGTGACGCGGATCATAGAGTCGCAATCCATTTTTTTTTTTTCTTTTTTTTCCTTTTCTTTATTTTACCACCTCTTAGGATCCCTTGACCTTCAAAACACACCATAAATAAATAAAATGCAGTGTTTTCTTCTTTTCCTTCTTCTTCTTTTTCTTCTTCTTTTTTTTCTTTTTCTTACCACAAGACTCTTTGTTTGTGGAATTATGGTGACGGTAACTCAGTGACGTGTTAATCTCTTCGTGTGTTTGTCTGTTTTTTTGTTTGTTATTATTATTGCTCTTATTATTATTATCCTTATCATCATTATCATCACTAGTATTATTATCATTGTTATTATTATTATTGTTATTATCATTATTGTTATTTCTATTATTACTATTATTATTATTATTATTATTATTATTATTATTATT